GGAACATTGTTTTTTCAAACATGGATTCCCTCCCAAGACTTCCACTGGAGCTGGACGAGGAATAGGATCCATCAATGTTTCTTCTAGCAACTTCTCAGATGACACCAATTAGGAAGTCAAGCTCACTAAGGTAGACTTTGATAAGCTCATGGCTCTAGCCAAAGACAAAGGACCACATAAAACTCCCACCACTTCTTTCACAGCTGCAACCTATAGCAATAGTTCAGGTAAATACAGCCTGATTGTTGACTCCAATCTTCCTTACAATAAAAATGGATCCTTGATACAGGAGCTTCAGACCACGTTGTCTGCTCCATTCACCTTCTAACACACTGCAGGCCAATCCCCAATGTCTATATCACCCTCCCTACTGGAGAACAAGTCCAAGCTACTCACACGTGCACAGTGACTTGTGTTCCTGGCCTCATTCTAGAAGCAACCCTCTTTGTGCCTTAGTTTAGCTTTAACCTCATTTTAGTGAGCAAATTGACCACCACAACATCCTTATGCCTAACCTTCTTCTCTAATGTTTGTCAAATACAGGATATGTAGCTCAAGAAGATGACACTGGTTCTGCTAAGCTATCCCAAGGCCTCTACCTCATTGAACCCCAACCCATAGATCCTATACCTAAACGCATCACAGCTACTTACTTCAAAAATTTTGATCTCTGGCATTACAGACTTGGTCATGTTTCTCATTACAAAATCCCTTCCTTGAGAGAAATATGTAATTCCATTAACACAGACAAGTCCTTTTCATGGGATGTTTGCCATTTTTCTAGGCAGAAAAGACTGCCAATCCCTTGTAGCAACACTGTTTGCACAGTCTTTCCAACTTATACATTTTGATCTTTGGGGGTCCCAATTCAGTTCCTAGCTATGATGGTTTCAAGTACTTTTTAACCATTGTAGATGATTTCACTAGGATTGATGAGGGCATCAAATCCAAGTCCATTTCATCACACGAAGGTCCATTTACTCGTTTACAAGCCAAGAGGATAAGAGAGGAGTTTTCTGCTTATTTGGATCGTCATTATGCTCACATGGACGTGGATCTACATCAAAGGATGCCCGTTACATTATTACAATTCATGGACCAGAATGAAGGGGAATTGGGATTCAAGAGAGAAGATGATTCGGATAAGGAAGAGAAGGGGAGTCTCAAGTGTGAAAGGGATCAAGGTGGAAAAGGAATCAAAGGTGGGAACACAAGGGAAGGGTTGGAGGATTGCAACGCTAGAATCTAGGGAGTTGTTAACCAAGTCTTTTCCTTGACTTTTAAGGATTGTGTTTTCCTTTTACTTGTCTTTTAAGGATTGTGTTTTTCCTTTAACTTGTAGGATTTGTTTTTCATTTTAAGCTTTAGATTTGTGTTAGCTAGTCTATAAATAAGGGGTCGAGTTCCTCATTGTAACTCATTCAATTATTAATCAACTTTCAAGTTTCAAGTTCATACGAACTGGTTCTTTGTGCAAGCTTCTGTCGAGAGTGCTCCAGGAATTTCATGTGGCTCTTATCAACTAGAGAACGCGTCTAGTTGTGGCGAGCTTCTACCCAATAGCGATTGGCCTTATTCACGAGTGGGTGATTATTTGATTGGTTTCATATACCAATTGGCCTTTCACACAAGTTGGAATATGTTTGATCGTGTTCCATCATTATCTTTTGTTCGAGTTCTTGTTCGTTGGAGAAAAGCTTTGAAAACCCATAATAAGGAGGAAAGCTACATACTTTGGTCACATCAAGTGGTATCAGAGCCCGGTTCAAACGCAGCGGAGAAGAAGAAGGTTCTTTTGCAATCTTGTCGTGTTCTTGAAGGTTTTGACGTGATCGTGAAGGATCTTGGAGGACTAAACCCAAGCCCGACCCGGTGAATAGTGAACAGGTTTAAACCCAAGCCCGACCCAAAACCCGTCAACATGGATTTTACCCGCGTTGACCGGGTTGGTTCGGATGGGTACCCGTGGGTTCGGGTTTTGTTGCCATCCCTAACTACTTCCCCTTTAAGGACACCAATCTTTATTACTACCTTCCCCATGGCTCCCCAACTGATCCAATCCTATTTGATGATCCAAACCACCAACCAACCCTTAATCCTTCCAATTCCCCTCCTGACCATCCCCAAACCATTTCTTATGAAAGTGATGACACACATTGAATCACCAACCACATCTCCCAATCCCCATCCTCATCACCAGACTCCTCCTCCTCCACCACCACCACCTCCACCACCAAATCAACCTACAAGAAAATCCACACAAAACATCAAACGTACTTCCCCTTTAGTGTATGTTGATGACTTAATCATTAGAGGCACAGACTTGGCACAGATCACTAGTCTCAAGCAATTCATACACAATGAATTCAACATCAAAGATTTGGGACCAGTAAAGTTCTTTACGGGCATTGAAGTTGCTAGATCCAGTAAAGGCATTCATATCAATCAAAGAAAATATACATTGGAGATACTGTAAGAAGTTGATCTGTTACATTGCAAACCAGTCACTACTCCTATGGACTACAAAGACTGCCTTTCCTCTCAACACTTTGATGCCTTTCCTGATCCTACACTGTACAGGAGACTAGTTGGCAAACTCATCTACCTAACCAGCACAAGGCCTGAAATAAGCTATGCTACTCAGCAGGTCAGTCAATTTATGTCCAACCCCAGTCAATCCCACTACAAAGCAGTCTTAAGAATCTTAAAATACCTCAAATCTGCTCTTTCAAGTTGTATTTTCTTCCCTGCCAACAACTCTCTCCAACTCAAAGCATTCAGTGATTCTGACTGGGCCGCCTGTGCAGACACATGTTGCTCCACAACTGGATAATGTGTCTACCTCGGTGACTCACTGGTTTCCTAGAAAAGCCAGAAACAGACCATCATTTCTCGCTCATCTTGTGAGGTAGAGTACAGAGCCCTCGCTCACACCAGCTGCGAAATACAATGGCTTCAATACCTTCTTCAGGACCTCCAAATCAGTCATCCCCAACCGGATGTAGTCTACTTCGACAACCAATCTCAGATCCACATCGCCGAAAATCCAACATTCCACAAAAGGACCAAACATATAGAACTTGACTGCCACTTTGTTCGTGAAAAGCTTCTCTCCAACACTATCAAGCTTCTTCATGTCTCTACAGTCCACCAGCTCAACAACCTCTTCACCTAACCTCTGCCACCAGCGGCCTTCAATCATCTCCTCTTCAAGCTTGGTGTGCTCAACATTTGCCCACCAGCTTACTGGAGGGGGGGGGGGGGGGTATTAGAGAAAAACATAAGTTTTTCTTCGTCTCTTCCACCAGCAGAGCCCCCAAATTCCAACCAGTCGACCGTCAAGGAGAAGACGACACCGTATCCTACATAAGTGGATTCTCCCATAAACAAAACGACGACACATAGAAGCTGGAATGAAGTTGTCTCTGGAAAATTACAAAACAGATCAACAACTTCTTAAATTGTTCTTTTCCTCTTTCAGACTATACTTTCTTCTTTCCCAAGTTTGTCTTCTTTACTTGTTCTATAAACCACAAACTCCACAACTATATAAGCTGAGTGATGAAATGAAAACAAGCTAAGCTAAAGTTTCCAAACCTAAACACCTCCTTCTCCCTTAGAAATCAAGAAGTTGAGCCTTCATCCTCTACACCTGCTTCTCCCTCTCCTCCACAAACTTCCTCTAAAGCGATCAAATCTCCTTCTTGCACGCCGCCAACTCCACATTCTTGTCCTCCAAGCTCCGCCTCAACTCGTTTGTTTCCTTGATAATTCCTCGGACATCCATCACAATTGTCCCATCAGACATGTCGAATATGGTCCAGACGGTGCTCATGACCATGTCTCGACGCACATTGATGACGTACTTGCACCAACCAAAGTGGTCGTTGATCCGCATGGCCTTAACAGTCGGATGCTTGATCTGAGAAATCATATAGAGGCCGAGTCGATTCACAAAGAAGTAGAAGCTTCCGTCTTCCATTTCCTTGAGCCCATTAAGCAACTTCTGTAATTTTTCTCCCGCGATTGTGGTGCTGAACAGTTCCAGTGCCCTGTACTATTCTGTTCTGGCATAGGGCCAACATATACTTGAGCGCTCCAATGTTCATAAGACTCGGAGGTTACTTTGCTGATCTTGAAATCGCTCGTGTCACCCTTGTACAAGTAGACAAGAACGTTTTTGCCGACTAATGATGGCATGATGAATTCGTTGTCGGAGTTCAAACTGTATACTGACATTTTGACGTATGAAAAGTAGAGAACTCGATTTACTTCGTTGGGATGCTGGAAAGCACCCCCATGGCAGGCACCCTATATTTTATAGAGAATAGAGCAAGCGAGTATATTGTGATTCTTCAGTAGCTTAAACATTGTATCCGTCCGCCAATCAGAGGACGGATTGTGATTAATGAATGAACATCTAGGGAGAAAGATAGATCACTTCGTAATTCCATTTGCAATTGATTTAATGGAGCAACCAAAGAAATGGTCAATGAAGAGCCATAACATCTCTTGATACGATTGAATCTTTGGTCTAGCTAGTACATAATAATATTAAAGAAACCAATCATAGAACCAAAATAAAAAACTCAATTCTGTCAAAACCGAACTGGAGAATAGACCGATATAACGAATGACTCACACTTTACTGGTTTAACCATTATTAAGCCGTTAAAAAATCATTAAAGATCCAGTACCTTATGACAAAAAATAGGCAAAATACACCTGTGTAGCCAAAACTTTGATGGTTTGGCCAAATATAGCCACGTTTGACGAAATACCAAAAATAGCCACTTCCGTCCAATTGTTTGACGGTGTTAGATAACGTTCACACTGGAATAACGGAAAGGCTGACGTGGCAAAATGTTTGCAAGTAACAACACCATGTGGATTTAAATTTAAAATATAAAATAAATATTTAAAGTCTCCCCTCTCCCTAATTTTCTCCGATCCCATCTTTTCCCTTTTATCTCTATACAATTAATCGAGAATCCCCCATTCACTGCCGAAAAAATCTCCATATCGTGAACTAATTTCCTCTTCATTCGATTCCATTTTCTCCGACCTCATCTTTTGCCTTGAATGGGTGAGATATTTGTTCTTCTTCTCCTTATCTTCTTCTCCGCACAATGGACGAATGGGCGAGACATTCTCTAAGTTGGGAATTTCAATTTCACCATCGTGAAGGGAATTTCAATTTCACCATCGTGATAGCGACCAGATTGTCGGAGAAGAAGGCAACGTAGAGATCGGTGAAGAAATTGAAGCATCCGGGCGACCAGCAGATCTTGTAGACGGCGATCCAAGCGTTTGGCGACAAAGGCGTAGTCGTCGAAGGTGAGATCGAGGGGCTAGATCCCGGTGTTGAGGACGCCGATGATGACGCCGTCGCCGTTGGCGGAGTTGAGGGAGAGAGGGGGCGAGGCCGAGGTTGGAAGGGGTGTGAGTGGTGTGGAGGTGGCGGATCTGGTCGGGGACAACGGAAATGATTTCGGGGGTGCGGAGGAGGCGAGAGGCTTGGTCGGTGGTGAGGGAGGCGGAGAAGCCGCCGGCGGTGTGAGAGTAGATTTAGAGGAGGGCGGAAGGGTGGGAGAGGATGCAGACGGGTTTAGGAGTTCGAGACGAGAGGGGATCGAAGAAGGGAAGGAGACTCGTAGTAGGGAAGAGTGAGAGTTGGAGAGAAGGGCATCGACCAATGGCCCTGGAGGGAGAGGAGAGAGGATGTAATTTATTTTTTATTTATTTTTAAATTAAAACATGACATGGCATCCATGTGGCAAGTGTTGTTGAGTTGTCAATGATGTGTCTGGTGAGTTGGCAACCAGATCATCGTTCCGTTAATTTGACTAACAGTGTCACCGAAGCCGTTAAACTATGTAACGGAAATGACTATTATGGTCATCAAACTTTCAGATTTTTGGCTATTATTAGTATTTCCACAAAAGTGGCTATTATTGTCACAAACGTCAAAATTTTGGCTACACAAATGAATTTTTCCAAAAAAAAATTACAAGTAGAACAATCATAATAACCGACTAAATCATAAATCTAGAGTTGATTACGCATGAACAAATTCAAAATAGGAATACTAAAATTATAAAGTCGAAACCCCACATCAACCACATCGTTCCCTAAAATAAAGCAATAGAGCAAAAGTCCCTAACTGTGGATAGCACGATATGCGGTTTTGACTGAAAAGTTGCTCTCATTAGTGAGTTTCCAAGCCCACTAGCACAATATTCGTCTGAATCATACTCGACCTTCACCAATAAGTATTTTTAGGGCAGCTTCCAATTCTGAACTACAAACGTGACTGATAATTGTCGAAAATATATTGATTCCATGTGCTTAATGTGATTATTTCAAATATGTTTGAGACATATAATACTTGTTTTAAGGCCAACTAACTCTGGAATGGTTACAAGACCATTGCCGCCATGTGTTAGTATTGCGATATATTTTAGGTAGTAAAGCAAGGAAATGTGATTGCACAAGCAGATTGTGCTGTCGCACATGCAAATGGAAAAATATAAAGCAGAAGAAGAACTTTGGATCGGACTGAATTTATTGGATCTGAGAGGAGTCATGGGGAAGTAATTTTAACGCGACTGAAAGAATTAGGCCGGGCCCATTCTTCTCTTCCCAACAAAGTGGGGGACACAGAGTTTTGACCAAGCTAATTTTAATGGACCAACTCCGTTGTCTTTTAGTGGAAATTATTTGGACACAGAAGTTTTGAGGGGAGGAAGAATTGAAAATTCTGGAGATTAATTTGGACCGGAGACAACTTGGACTGAGAGCAACGCGAGCTGGGAAGAAAAGAATTTGGGCCGCAATTACTTGGAGGCTTGGAATTATTTGGACGCCTTTGGAGAGTCCAGGACGGAATGGGATTATTGGTGGCCAGTGGGAGCAATTATTTGAACCGGGACTGATTCTCTGGGGACGGGAATTAAGAGGATGAAGTTGGACCGGGGAAAGAAGACAGCGGGACGGGAATTAATTGGCAGCGCAGAAGCAACACAGCGCCGCACGGGGGATCGCGATCAGAGCAGCGGGAAGAAAATCTCAATACTCTTTTCCTTTTGTTTTGATTCGTGACGTGATTATTATGAACATGATTATATCTTTTGATTTCGTCATGAACTAAACCTTAATTTCTGGGGGAGACACCATAGGATGTAGCTATTTTTAGATTTGATGGATTGATTCAAATTTCTTTTCTTCCAATCTCTATTGCATGAAATTACTTAATGCTTTGTGTTGACTGGCCACCAATACATCGATTTGTAGTTAATTAGGTTATTAACGACAGTGAAACCCTAATAACTGAACCTATTTTATGTGTCATAGTAACTTATCGAAGCGACAGTGGATTAAATAAGGTGCTATGTGGTCTTAAATAGGATATCGATCTTCAGGATAAATAATTAAGTCATTGAGCTACGACAATAGGATTTGATTTAATTGTTTAGTACGTAGTAAGTCCCGACAGGGATTAACTAGCACAGTAATGATATCCTGGTTGTAGAGATATGGATTAAACTGATTGGAATATGTGAATTAATTTGGATATGATTGGTAGTGAATTCCGATGTTTCTCCCAGAGCTTTCTCCATTGAATTTCTCACGACAACTTTACTTTGCTTAATTAGTTTATTTTGATTTGCTTTTAGATAATAGTTTATCTCTCAAACCATTTTCCCTTGTAGTTTGCTCTATAAAATTGATAGAATATAAGGTTGTACCAGTCCCTGAGAGACGATACCCAGACTTCCGGTTTACTACGAGATAGGAATTTGGCATATGTGCTTTTGCCCTATCAAGTTTTTGGTACCGTTGCCGGGGACTGCCATGCCTTATTTTTGTTGATTTTTGTGAGTGAACTATTTTGATCTGGGTGTTAGTGCGCAGAAGAGTTTTCAGGTTTATCCTTCTCGTGCATGCGTAGGAGGACGACTGGCAATTTACTGCTACTAGATTCGGAGATCGAGAAGACCTGCCGTCAGAACAAGAAGCAGTTCAAGTTAGGGAAGCAACCAACAAGAATTCCTAGGTCTTTCCTAACCCAGAGAGGGCGGGCTTCATCACCTGTCATCCTACACCACTGACACCACCACCACCGCGCCACATCGAGCCTGTCATCATGGCAGACCAGGATCATTCGATCAGGGTTCTCTTGAATCGAAGGACTGGAGCCCGAGCTTCATGTGTTCTCATTCCGGCTAGGGATGAAACCATGGAGATTTCCCCAACATTTATCAATATGATCACCAACGGGTACACTTTCTACGGGGCTAGCACTGAGGATCCTCACGAACACCTTCGTCGGTTCGCAAGCATTTGTGATACGATGAAGAGCCCGACTGTGTATGATGATGCAATCCGTCTTAAGATGTTCTCATTTTCTCTAAAGGGAATGCATCACATCGGTTTCAGAACTTAACACCACGTTCCATCATGACATGGGCTCAGCTTGAGAAGGCCTTTCTGGACAAGTACTTCCCACCTGCCTTGGCAATGAAGAGGCAAGAGGAAATTGTTACTTTTAAGCAAGCAGAAGATGAGAGTCTAACAGAGGCGTGGGAGCGTTATAAGGGGCTATTGATGAGATGCCCAAGCCATGGTCTTGAAGATTGGAACGTGATCATTATTTTCTTCAATGGAATCAGAAGGGAGTTTCATGATGCCCTGAATAATGCTTCTCGAAATGGTTTCACAAGCATGGAGGCACCAAAAACATATGACCTGGTAGAGAAGATCTGTTCAGAAGCCACTGAATGGGGTAGTGAGACCAGTATTCGAAGAAGAGGAGGCTTGCATGAGATAGACAGAGTTGCGAGTCTAGAAGCCAAGTGATAACGATGTAATTGCACGTATTTGCACCCCTAGTCTTATCCGTTTGAGGGGCATAGTCGTGTATTTTTGGCCTATTTTACGCCGGGTTGTGCTACTTTGTCATATTTCAGGTCCCAGGCGTCAAAGGAAAGGCTAAGCACGAGTTTCGGGGCATTCGGAAGTCATTCGGTCGAGCTGGAACCAAAACACGGGCACGCTTAAATCAGAACACGGCCGTGTTCTTAGACCGTGCTTTTACTGTCGAGACTTGATATGAGGTTGGAAAACACTAGCTCAAAACACGGGCATGGCTGAGACAGAACACGACCGTGTCCCCCAAAAGCACGCCCGTGTTTCTCCCAACAGGCTGGCCTTGTAATTAACCCTTAACAAGGGCACGGGCGGGCTGGAGCAAAACACGGCCATGCCCTCGACCGTGTTTTGCCCAGTGATGCCCTTTTAGGCAGATTTTAGCCAAAACAGAAGTGGATTCGAGTTTTAGAGAGACAGAGCGATTCCTAGAGAGAGAAAGCGACGAACAAGAGTCCCCAAGTGCCCTAGCTTGATCTTCATCACCATTGGAGCTTGGCTTGAGTTTGGAGGAGTGCTGATCAACGTCCAGGAGCATAAATTCATTCTTCACAGTATGATTTCCGCGTCTGAATCTGCTTTTGCTTCTTTCTCCATGGAGTAGTTCTCCCATTCATCTGGTATGGAGAACCCTAGATTTGTATGTTAGGTTTAATTGTATGAACCCAAGTACTGATTCTATGATTTGATTATATTCAATTGAGGTTTGAATGATTGAATGGCATGAATCCTGATCAAATTCCTGTTGTTTCTGCTTTAACCTAGAATGAGAATATCTGCCTAGGTTGATAGAGTATCCTTGATTGAAGGCAGGGAGTTGGTGACTTTAGTCGAGGAGCCAACTCACTATTCTGTACCGAATTCACTTCGGTAGTGGAGGTTTTGTTCGTTAGGGCCTCAATCTGTTTACTCCGATGGAGGTTAGTCGCCCGCTAGAGACTCAGATTGAGATGGTCTGGAGACCTTTAGTCGAGACTTCAGACTGCTTAAGAACCTTCCGCAGTATAACTATCATAGAAATTGAACTTGGTAATTGCAATCTGGCTTAACTGCAGTCTAAGGGGAACCATATCCGGGTGACCTCTCTTAACCTGAAAACAACCGTTTACTTGCTTTGTCCGTTTGCTAGTTTAGACCTGCACTAAAGTTTCATTGCTAGATAACAAGAATTCACCGAGTAGTCATCAAATCTAGGACCCGGGTTGACATTAAAACTCAAACCCGCTATACTACGCTTTAGGAAGTGGTTACACTTGGCCAATTTCTAGAGTGACAGTAGGAGTGAGTCAAGTTTTTGGCACCGTTGCCGGGGACGGCTAGGTTGTTGAAGAAAAGTGCTTTATGTTAATTTAGCTTTTCTTTTCGCTTTGTTTGCTTTGTCCCACTTGTGCCTTCACGGGTTTGCTTGCTTGAGTGTGTGCAGGTAGTGCATGACCCGTAGCCAGTCGGGAGGTTTACTGCCATTGAATCCAGAGATTGAACGCACCTGTCGCCAACTCAGGAGACAACAGCGAGCTAGACTGGCTACGAAAGAGCGCATAGACGGCCACCTGAGCAGCGATTCTGAAGAAGAGTACGGGATGGACGGAGATTACAATCCACACCAGGGGAATCCTCAGCAGGCTCCCCCGGTGAATCAGGTCCTGGGGAACAACTCCATACCCCAGGATCATGGGGTTCATCATCATCCACTGCCGCCGGGTCCCACCTTGGAGTACTACTACACTCCACGGATTGCTGACATCCGCCCGGTCATCCTCTACCCGCCTATTCCAGCAAACAACTTCGAGATCAAGCCATGCTGGATTCAGCTCATTACATCCTCTATCCAGTTCCATGGCTTGAAGGATGAGGAGGCCAGGGTAAATCTTTCCCGTTTTCTGCAGCTAACGAACGGGTTCAAGCTGCACAGTGTCCCCGATGATGCAATCCGCCTTCACCTTTCCCCCCATTCTCTGGCGGGGAATGCTAAGAGGTGGTTGGAGACCCAACCCCCATTGTCCATCACCTCTTGGGACGATCTGGCTGACAAATTCGTGCATAGGTACTATCCGGCATCGAAGACTACAGAGATCCAGCGGGAGATCACTCACTTCCGCCAAGAGCCAGATGAGTCACTTCGTGATGCATGGGAGTGGTACATGGGATATTTCTGGCAGTGTCCCCATCATGGCTTTAGTGATGCATTCACAGTGGGGAACTTCTACAGTGCCCTCTCTCCGGACAGCCAGCGGGTGAATGAGTCTTTATGCCCAGGGGGGATATTCTTACTAAGACTCCACCCGAGCTGAACCAGATGATCAACACCGTGGCTGCCAGAGATCATTCCTGGGGGCAGAGCAGCAGAGGCAGACATTCCCGAGACCGTGGTGTGCACGCCATGGAGACCAGATCCGGGCTCGAGCAGCAGGTAGCTGAGTTAGTGCAGACATTGAAGCAGCCCAACAGTCTTATTCCGGGCAGAGGTTTGGCTACACCTCCAGTAGCTCAATGTTAGTGGTGTGAGAGCTCAAATCACTTAGTGGAAGAATTCCAGACTATGAGGGAGTCTACTACTCCCCAAGAGCAGTTGGACTTCATCGCCAATGCTCGGCGCCTCGACCCATACAGCAATACATATAATGAGGGGTGGCGCCAGCATCCCAATTTCGCTTGGAGCAGCAACACCACTAAACCACCTGGTTTCCCCAGCACCAGCTGGTGGCTTTCAGCAGAGGCAGCCCTTCCAGGCTCGACAGGGGCCAGCCCCACAGCAGCAACCCTACCAACCAAGGCAGGGGCAACCATTCCAGCAGCCCCAGCGTTAGTATGCCGAGCCAGCAGCAGCTCCGGCTCCAGATAATCAGATGACGAAGCTGGAAAATATTCTAGCTTCATTCATGACTAGCACTTAGGCAACTGTCACGAGGTTGGACCAGAGCATAGCCTCACTGGAGGCAGGTCAGAGGAACCAAGGTGCCATTTTGCAAGATATACAGAACCAGGTGGGTATCTTGGCCCGCCAAAACACTACCAGGGCACCGGGGACTCTGCCTGCCACCACTATTCCGAATCCTCGTGATCCTCACCAGCACCAGCAGCTTGATGCCATCACTACCAGGAGTGGCAAGACCACATCAGCTGCTCCTGCCCAGCCCAGTCGAGATGAGCCACTACCTGCTTCAACACTTCCAGCTGATACTACAGAAGTGGGGGAAGAAAAAGAAAGGCCTGCTCCCAAGCCACAGCCAGTGGTTAAGGAGCATGTACCCCAGCTTCCTTTCCCCACTCGCCTACATAAAGACAAGCTGGAGACTGAGTTTGCCAAGTTCATGGCAATATTGAAGCAGGTCAACATCAGCATGCCGTTCGTGGAGGCACTGTCAAAGATGCCCAAGTATGCCAAGTTCATGAAGGACCTCCTCACCAACAAGAATAAACTTGGGGATCTTTCGACAGTGATGCTGAGCGAGGAGTGTTCTGCTATCCTGCAGAACAAGCTGCCCGAGAAGCGAAAAGACCTAGGGAGTTTCACTATCCCTCTTGTTATTGGCAGCATGCATGTAGGAAAGTCCTTGGCGGACCTAGGCGCTAGCATAAATGTCATGCCTTACAAATTGTTTAAGAAGCTAGGCTTAGGTGAACCTAGAACTACTAGGATGAGCATTCAGTTAGCTGATCGTTCTATCGTGCATCCTAGGGGTATCATTGAGGACTTGCTTGTTAATGTGGGTGCATTCACATATCCTGTTGACTTTGTTATTTTGGATATAAATGAGGATGTGGATGTACCTTTGATTTTGGGTAGACCGTTTCTCGCCACCGCCAAGGCGCTTATTGATGTGCATAGTGGTAAATTGATTCTGCGTGCTAGTGATGAACATGCTACTTTCTCTGTGTCTGAGAATGGGAAACACTCTCATTTGCATGATGACATAGATTATTGTGATGTGCTTACTTATTTTGAGACCGCACTTGCTATATCGAGTGCGGGTACTGACGATGCTCTTGAGCGTTGTATTTTGCTAGGTGAGCAGGCATCGCAGGAGCTGCAGCTAGCGGAGCAGTTGGCCGAGTTGGAGAGTGGCCCCTTCTTGGAGGGCGACAGGCTGTTCAAACCGATCTCATCCTCCACCCGCATCGCTACTTCCTTGGAGGAACCACCAGAGCTGGAGCTTAAGCCCCTCCCCCCTCATTTGGAGTATGCATTTCTCCGGGAGGGGAATAAGCTGCCAGTCATCATCAGCTCGACCCTCACACCCGAGCAGAAGAACAGACTGGTGGCCTTACTGAAGCGGTACGAGCGAGCTCTCGCGTGGAAGATCACAAACATTCGGGGGATCAACCCTTCTTTCTGCTCCCACCGGATACTGATGGAGGATGAGATGCGGCCAGTGAGACAGCCGCATAGAAGACTGACATCGAACCTGGAGGCTGTGGTTCGGGCAGAGATCGTGAAGCTGCTGGACGCGGGGATCATCTTCGCCATTTCCGACAGCGAGTGGGTCAGTCCCACCCAGGTGGTACCCAAAAAGGGTGGGATGACTGTGGTGCCTAACCAGAAGAATGAGCTGATCCCGATGCGCACGGTGACTGGGTACCGTGTCTGCATTGATTACCGGCGTCTCAACGACGCCACTCGAAAGGACCACTTTCCGCTGCCATTCATTGATCAGATGCTGGAGAGACTGGCGGGGCACGAGTTCTACTGTTTCCTGGATGGGATGTCCGGGTACTTCCAGATCCCTATTGCACCAGAGGACCAGGCGAAGACCACTTTCACCTGCCCCTTTGGCACCTTTGCCTACCGGAGGATCCCATTCGGGCTATGTAATGCCCCGGCCACTTTTCAGCGATGCATGCTCGCTATCTTTGACCATCTGGTCGGCGAGATTATGGAGGTGTTTATGGACGATTTCTCGGTTTATGGAGACTCATTCTCTCACTGTCTCCATAACCTGGAGCTTGTCCTTAAACGGTGTGAAGAAACGAACCTGGCACTGAGTTGGGAGAAGTGTCACTTCATGGTTCGAGAAGGCATAGTTCTTGGGCATAAGATCTCCAAGATGGGGATTGAGGTTGACAGAGCGAAGATCGAGACTATCAGCAAGCTGCCTCCTCCTACATCTGTTAAGGGGATCCGGAGTTTTCTTGGTCATGCAGGGTTCTACAGGCGGTTCATCAAGGATTTCTCGAAGATTGCTCTGCCCCTGAATAAGCTTCTAGAGAAGGATGCCCCCTTCCAGTTCACTGATGCATGCACAACGGCTTTCACGACCTTGAAGGAGAAGCTCACTCAAGCTCCTATCATGGTTGTTCCTGATTGGTCCCTGCCATTTGAGCTTATGTGCGATGCCAGTGACTTTGCTGTTGGAGCTGTATTGGGGCAGAGGCGAGATCAGCATTTCCGACCTATCTACTACGCCTCGAAGACCCTGAATGATGCCCAAGAGAACTACACCACCACGGAGAAGGAGCTGCTCGCGGTGGTGTTTGCCTTCGATAAATTTCGTCCTTATCTGGTCTTGTCCCATGTGACCGTGTATACAGATCACTCCGCGATTCGATACTTGATGAGCAAGGCTGATGCCAAGCCTAGGCTCAGACGATGGATCTTACTGCTGCAGGAGTTTGACATTGAGATTCAGGACAAGAAGGGAGCGGAGAATGTTGCTGCCGATCACCTCTCCCGGTTGGACGCACCCCTTGCGGACAACCTCGAGGAGGAGATCAACGACTCCTTCCCAGATGAGAGACTGATGATGATGTGCCTGGTGGAGAGTGTCACCCCCTGGTATTCCGATTTTGCGAACTATCTTGTGGGCCAGCAGCTGCCCAAGGGGATGACAACTCACGCCAAGAGGAAGTTCTTCTCCGACCTGAAGCACTACTTCTGGGATGACCCTCATCTCTTCAGGATCGGAGCCGACGGGATCATCCGTCGATGTGTTATGGAGAGTGAGATGGAGGGCATTCTATCTCACTGTCATGAAGGACCTACTGGCGGTCACCACGGCGGGAACCGCACGGCGAGAAAGGTGCTCCAGTCGGGCTTCTACTGGCCCACGCTCTTCAAGGACGCAGACGCTTTCGCCCGCAGGTGCGACCGATGCCAAAGGTCAGGTAACATCTCTGCCCGTGATGAGATGCCCCAGAATGTGTATATAACTTGTGAGATTTTTGATGTCTGGGGTATCAACTTCATGGGCCCCTTCCCTCCATCTTTTGGTAATACCTATATCCTTGTTGCTGTTGACTACGTCTCTAGGTGGGCTGAGGCGCAAGCTTTGCCCACTAATGATGCTAGACGTGTTTGTTTTTTTCTGAAGCAGCTATTCTCCCGGTTCGGGACACCTAGAGCCATCATAAGCGACCGAGGCACCCATTTCCAAGGTCAGTTCGATAAATTGTTGTCTCGCTATGGTGTAACTCATAAGGTGTCCGTGGCCTACCATCCTCAAACAAGTGGTCAGGCCGAGCTGACGAACCGGGATCTCAAGTGTATCCTGGAGAAGACGGTGAATCTATCCCGCAAGGATTGGTCCACCAAGCTCAATGATGCTCTGTGGGCATACCGCACTGCCTACAAGACGCCGATTGGTACCTCACCGTACCGGCTGGTCTATGGAAAGGCATGCCATCTGCCTGTGGAGCTAGAGCACAAGGCCTTCTGGGCCCTTAAGCTGCTAAATTTGGATGTTAGTGTTGCAGGTGTTGATCGCAAAATACAGATGTTGGAGCTGGAAGAGTGGCGTTACCACGCCTATGAGAACACAAAGCTGTACAAGGAGCCCACTAAGAACCTGCACGATGCACGGTTGCGGGGTCCAAAAGAGTTCCAGGTTGGTGATCGAGTTCTCCTTTATAACTCTCGCCTGAAGCTCTTTCCCGGAAAACTCCGTTCCCGGTGGTCTGGACCGTACACGGTCACACAGGTGTTCCCGTATGGCACGATCGAGATTGCCAACCCGCAGACTGAACCATTTAAAGTGAATGGCCATCGTCTCAAACTCTACTTGGGAGGTGAGGTCGAACGTGCGGAGCTGGCAGTGGACTTCGCGGACCCTTAGTTCCGCCATGGGCGTCCAGCTTAAAGACGGTAAAGAAGCGCTTTTGGGGAGGCAACCCCACCACAGTTTGCATTTCTACCCTTTGTTTTTATTTTTTATTTCACTTTTTGTCGGTTTTTGAGTCTTTGAGTCCGTCTGGAGTCTGTCTGGAAAGTATTTTGTGCCTCGGGCGGTTCTTTTTAATGTGTGATTGGATAAATTTTAGAGCCGGGGCACGAATGAGTCTTGGTGGTTTGAAATTGGAATTTTGAAAAAAAGCATTTTGGGCTCGGCACTAAAAGCACGGGCGCCAGGGGATGAAAACACGGCCGTGTTTTGCCCCCTGCCCGCCCGTGTTTTGATCTTAGGCCTGAACTGCTCTCGGCAGTAAAAACACGGGCGCTGGGCTTCCAAAACACGGCCGTGTTTTGGCCCCAGCCCGCCCGTGTTTTCAAAGGGGGGAAACACGGCAGTAAAAACACGGGCGCGGAACAGGCCGAACACGGCCGTGTTCCAGCCTGCCCGTGTTTCGCTGCCCCCCCCTATAAAAGTCGATTCTTCCTCCCCCCACCCACCAGATCAGTTTTTTCAAATTCCCAGCCATCTCTCTCGCCGGAAACTCGGCCCTTTCATCTTCTCCATCGATTTTCCGGCCATAACTCCCTCTCCCGACCTTCAAATCACAAACCGCGAACGCCCCCACGCTCCTGGCGTCAAGGAGCACATTCCCCAAAGATTTGGGCTTGTTTGGCCGAGGTTGGGTCACCGGCGGTGAGTTTTCCGGCGAGTCTCCGGTGTGTTTTCCGGCAACTTAGGGTGCCTTTTTCCACTTTCTTCACCTCTCTCGTGGTCTCTCCTTGCGTCTCCAGGTGTGTTCTCCTTGTCTTTTCTTTTATTTAATGGAGAATCGATACCTAGAGTTAGGTGAAGAACTTTTGATTGTGGAATGGTTTGGGGATGATTGGGTAGGCCGATGACGCTATTTGGTTGTTCTATTTTTGCCTCGGGATTTCAGTCATTCGGCCTACCATTTGCATGTTGCATTGTATGCGGGCTAGAATGGTTTTTGTGTGGTGGATCGATTGGTGCTTATTTAGTACGGTTTTGGTATGCTTGTTTCCCCGGAGGCCTAGTCCACTGTCCGAATCGCTCGATTTGAGGGTCCCCGGTGTGTTCTGTGGTGTAATTCTCGTGTGATGGGTATGCTTGTTTCGCCGGGAGTCTAGTCCACTGTCCATATCTTTTGATATGAGGGCTCCCGGTGTGGTTGTGGCCTAACATTGACCCCGTTTGCTTGTGTACCCTTTGTACTCCCTTGTTTTTTGCAGGATCATGGAGGTTTATCTCGACCAGCTGAGCATCACCCAGCGCCATATGCTGCGGAACCTCCGTAACCGCACCATCGCCGAGCACCTACACCTCGATTTTGAGGTGTTCGAGGCGCTTCATGCCAGGCCACAGATGGAGGCCGTGGTCCGCACCTATGGTTGGAGGCGTCTTCTCACCCTCGCCGAGCCGACCTACAAGGAGCTCGTCTGGGAGTTCTACGCCACCTTCCACCACAACTGGAAGGGGAACTCCGACCATGCTGATGCAGTTCAATTCACACTCGGCGGGGTGGAGCACTCCCTCAGTTACTGGGAGTTCGCCAATGCGCTTCGTCTCAATTCCCGGGCGTCCGGCGGGCCGCCCCTACGCTTGGACCTCTCCGATCCCACCGACTTCGCTTCCCAGGCTTACTTTCAGCGCATTTTCCTGCCGAACAATGTGGATGAAGAGTACGTTGCCAGCCAGACGCGGGCCGCTCTCCTCCGTCCGGAGTGGAGGATCCTCAACCACTTGCTCTACACTTCCTACACACCCAGCAAAGGTTCATCCAACCGGGTCACACTCCGGACACTCTGGTTCATGGATGCGATGGGTCGTTCTGAGGACACCATCCAGCTGGGCTCTGTGCTCGCCCGGACGTTCACTAAAGCCGCCAGCAGCCTGACTCACAGCCTTGTATGTGGCCCAGTGATCACCGCCTTGGCCCGCCACTACGGGGTTGACTACACGGGGATGACGTTGGTACACGGGCCAACCCCGCTCAGCGAGGCTACTCTCCGTCACCAGCACATGGTTGCTCGCCACGGGCGTGTGCACTGGATTGCGGGCCTTCCTCAGCCACCTCTACCTGCAGTGGGCGACCAGGCCGAGTCGAGCGCCGCTGGTGGCTGCCGAGTTCCCCGTCGCGCTGTTCGTCGTGACCAGGCTCCCGCGAGCCCCTCTCTTGCTCCCCGGTCTCCTTCTCCAGGGTCTCCTCCTCCAGTGGTGATTAGCCCACGACCAAATTGACTGTCCTGGTGTGTCATACCCCCTAGTCAGCCCTTTGAGCCGTGTGTTTTCCTTTCTTTCGGTCTTCAATGGAAAGTCACCCTTTTGCATCTTTTAGAAGGTTCCACAGAGTGTTTTTTACATGTTTTCTGCTGTTTCTGCTAAACGTAATGTGAGGGTTGGAGATAGTGCTTAAAAGTTGGGCAGGTGTTTGAATATATGCAGAGGTGGTGGTTCTCTTAAGAAATGAAAAATAATGAAAGAAAAACAAAGAAAAAATGAAAGCAAAAGAGAGCCACCACCAAAAATCTGAATAATGCCCGTTTAGTAGTGTTTCTTAGCAATCTGGCTTAGAAATACTAGCATTTATGTGACCTCCTTCGCTCTTGTGCTCTGAAGAATTTGAGTAATGCAGAATAGCAGAAAGAAAGTTATTGGTTTGATTGACTGCGAGTTTGTTGGGTTTGGATATGTGGAACCTTGTGCTGTATGAATACTTCCACCACCTAAAAGGCCTTTTCCCCATGTCCAAGACCCTAGCCAGTCATATGAACCTGTGTCTAAGACCTCCGGATTAGTTAGTGGTGACACCCCATATGTGAACTCTAGCACTTAGAGGCTGCATTCATGGTGAAGAGATGTTAGGGATTGAGAGATTAAGCATGCGCATTTTTCGCATCAAATTGTCCTGACCCCACTGGTCGAGAGTGAGCGATTCATTTTCTCATATTCTCTGTACTCTTTATCCCGGTGAGGACCTAGATTGCTCGGTCTTAATTATGATATCTTGAGTTTTGTGCATGAAGTGACTGTTTTGAATAAGTGGTTGAGTCAAGTCTATGTTGATTGGTGAACAGAAGGGAGACTCTTCCTTTGCTTGATTTTACTGCACTCGAATGTCATCTGTGGTGGTTGTCTAGGTTGTCATTGAGGTTGTCCATGTGTTAATGATCGAAAGCCAGTATGATCCACGTTTTTGTGCCGATATGATATGCCCGTAAGCATGCTTGCTTGAAACGTTTTGAGCTTACCTTGTGTCTGACTTGGTTTGCTTGGGGACAGGCAAACGGTTAAGTGTGGGGGAATTTGATAACGATGTAATTGCACGTATTTGCACCCCTAGTTCTTATCCATTTGAGGGGCATAGTCGTGTATTTTTTTGCCTATTTTACGCCGGGTTGTGCTACTTTATCATATTTCAGGTCCCAGGCGTCAAAGGAAAGGCTAAGCACGAGTTTCGGGGCATTCGGAAGTCATTTGGTCGAGCTGGAGCCAAAATACGGGCACGCCTAAATCAGAACACAGCAGTGTTCTAGACCGTGCTTTTACTGCCGAGACTTGATCTGAGGTTGGAAAACACTAGCTCAAAACACGGGTATGGCTGAGATAGAACACAGCCGTGTCCCCCAAAAGCAGGCCCGTGTTTCTCCCAACAGGCTGGCCGTGTAATTAACCCTTGACAAGGGCACGGGCGGGCTGGAGCAAAACACGGTCGTGCCCTCGACCGTGTTTTGCCCAGTGATGCCCTTTTAGGTAGATTTCAGCCAAAACAGAAGTGGATTCGAGTTTTAGAGAGACAGAGCGATTCCTAGAGAGAGAAAGCGACAAACAAGAGTCCCCAAGTGCCCTAGCTTGATCTTCATCACCATTGGAGCTTGGCTTGAGCTTGGAGGAGTGCCGATCAACGTCCAGGAGCAGAAATCCATTCTTCACAGTATGATTTCCGCTTCTGAATCTGCTTGTGCTTCTTTCTCCATGGAGTAGTTCTCCCATTCATCTGGGTATGGAGAACCCTAGATTTGTATGTTAGGTTTGATTGTATGAACCCAAGTACTGATTCTATGATTTGATTATATTCAATTGAGGTTTGAATGATTGAATGGCATGAATCCTGATCAAATTCCTGCTGTTTCTGCTTTAACCTAGAATGAGAATATCTGCCTAGGTTGATAGAGTATCCTTAATTGAAGGTAGGGAGTTGGTGACTTTAGTGGAGGAGCCAACTCACTATTCTGTACCGAATTCACTTCGGTAGTGGAGGTTTTGTTCGTTAGGGCCTCAATCTGTTTACTCCGGTGGAGGTTAGTCGCCCGCTAGAGACTCAGATTGAGAGGGTCTTGAGACCTTTAGTCGAGACTTCAGACTGCAGTCTAGGGGGAACCATATCCGGGTGACCTCTCTTAACCTGAAAACAACCGTTTACTGCTTTGTCTGTTTGCTAGTTTAGACCTGCACTAAAGTTTCATTGCTAACAAGAATTCACCGAGTAGTCATCAAATCTAGGACCTGGGTTGACATTAAAACCCAAACCCGCTATACTACGCTTTAGGAAGTGGTTACACTTGGCCAATTTCTAGAGTGACAGTAGGAGTGAGTCACCAAGATAGATGCCAAGCTGGATTCTAAGTTTGATGCACTCGAACGAAGGCTGGCCAAGATTGCTCTGGGTAGACAAGAGGAGGTTGCTTCATGTGAACTTTGCGAAGGTCCTCATCATAGGGATATGTGTCCACTGGGAGCTGCTTAGTTGGAAGATGTCCAATATATCAATAATCCGCGAAGTCAAGGCCAGGGTGGTATGTATTCAAATACATACAACCCTCAATGGAGACATCACCCCAATATGTCATGGTCAAACAATAATCCATCTGGGGTTTGAAACATCCCACCTCCTGGTTTTCAACAGCAGCAACCTCAACCAAAGAAGAAGCCCCAGCCGGAGGAGTTGATTTTGGCTCATATGCAGAAAACAGACAATAATTTCAAGGGTCTTGATCAATTTGTCCCTTAACAGCTAGCCATCAACAATAATATGCAATCATCTATGCTAGCTATGGAGAGGAAAATAGGCCAGATGGCTCAAAATTTGGTAGATATTCAAGGTAGGATTCCTGGGACTTTACCGGCAAATACTGAGAGAAATCCAAAGGATGCCATGGTTGTAGCAGTCACATTGAGGAGTGGGAAGGAGTTGGAGGATCCAAAGAGCAAGAAAAATCCAGTAGAAAAGGAGGACAAAACAGCGGCAAAGGAAGAAAGTGCAAAAGCTGAAAAATTTGACTTGCACAGGCAAACTGCATGCAATCTGCCTGTGCATGAGCATTCCGCCCGTGGACTTCCAAAGGTGGAAAAATTCAAGAATGAAGAGGTAAAGCCTTATGAACCTATCACACCATTCCCTCAGAGGTTAATGAAGCCCATGGAAGACCCAAACTTCAAAAAAATTGTGAATCTCTTCAAGCAACTTCATATCAACATACCACTAGCGGAGGCACTTGAACAGATGCCTACATATGCTAAATTCTTAAAGGAGTTGCTGACAAAGAAGTGCAGGTGGGCTGATCTAGAGAAGGTAACCCTTACTTCTGAATGTAGTGCTGTGATTCAGAATAAATTACCAAAAAAGAGGGATGATCCGGGCAGCTTCACCATTCCATGTGTCATTGGAGGTAGAGAGTTCGATAAATCACTTTGTGATCTTGGAGCAGGAATTAATTTAATGCCATACTCAGTCTACAAGAAATTGGGATTGGGAGATGTTCTTAAGCCTACTCGGATCACTCTCCAATTGGCTGATCGATCAGTGAAAATTCCAAAGGGAGTGGTGGAGAATGTATTGGTGAAGGTGGGAAAGTTTATTCTCCCAACAGATTTTGTAATTTTGGAGATGGAAGAAGATCGGGGAGTGCCTCTCATTCTTGGGAAACCTTTTCTAGCAACTGGAGATGCACTCATCGATGTTGGGGGAGGCAAACTGACATTCCGAGTAGGTAAGGAGGAGGAAATTTTTAATGTCTTTCAAGTTGATCATAATCACGATGCATTTGATGACATTGAAAGTGGAGCTCGAGAAAGGAAAAATTCATCACCCAAAGAACTATTACATGTCCTAGCTGCTCAAAGTCTGAAATCAAAGCAAGGACAAAAATCCTTGCTAGGTCATCTCAAGTATAGATATTTGGGCAAGGATTTCAATCTTCCTATTATTATTCCTTGTTCACTGACATTGAAACAGGAAGAGTACTTGCTTGAGGCGCTGCAGTACCACCTACGCCTCACTAAGGGGTCCAACATGCAAGCTAAGAAGGTCATGCCCAATTTTCGCACACCTGGCCCTGATGAGGTGACTCATATGTTAGATGGAGGCTATGCGTTCTATCATTGCTCGGGAGGGTATTCTGGATACCTTTCCATACCCATTGGTTGAAAGCTCCATGAATGTCCAGCTGAGGACGTTAAACAAGCGCTTCTTGGGAGGAAACCCAAGGTGAGTTTTCCTTTCTTTATTTTTCTTTTTAGCTGTGTCAAACCCGTGCATGTTTAGATTAAGAGTTGAACATTAGGGACAATGTTCCATCCTGAGAGTGGGGTGGTGAATCTTAGTGTTGTTTGTCCCTGTTGCATGTGGTAAAAAAAGTAATAAAAAATACACCTAAAAATCATAAAAATTAAAAACAAAACCTTGTACTCTTGTGATAACATGATGTAAATGACCGTGATGCATGTGAAATGAGTTTATGCTTGTAGGAAATCATCAAAATCACCCCCCACTAGTGTTGAATTGCATAGTTCTTCACAACAAATGGAAAAAATAAAGCAGAAGAAGAACTTTGGACGATATTGAATTTATTGGATCTGAGAGGAGTCATGGGGAATTAATTTTAACGCGACTGAAAGAATTGGGTCGGGCCCATTCTTCTCTGCCCAACAAAGTGGGGGACACAGAGTTGTGACCAAACTAATTTTAATGGACCAACTCCGTTGTCCTTCAATGGAAATTATTTGAACACGGAAGCTTTGAGGGGAGGTGAAATTGACAATTCTTGGAGATTAATTTGGACCGGGGACAGCTTGGACAGAGAGCAACGCGAGCTGGGAAGAAAAGAATTTGGGCCGCAATTACTTGGAGGCTTGGAATTATTTGGACGCCTTTGAGAGTCCTGGACGGAATGGGATTATTGGTGGCCGTTGGGAGAAATTATTTGAATCGGGACTGATTCTCTGGGGACGGGAATGAAGATGAGGAAGTTGGACCGGAGAAAGAAGACAGCGGGACGAGAATTAATTGGCAGCGGAGAAGCAGCATAGCGCCACACGGGGGATCTCGATCAGAGCAGCGGGAAGAAAATCTCAATACTCTTTTCCTTTTGTTTTGATTCTTGACGTGATTAATATGAACATGATTATATCTTTTGATCTCGTCATGAACTAAATCCCAATTTCTGGGGGAAACACCATAGGATGTAGCTATTTCTAGGTTTTATGGATTGATTCATATTTCTTTTCTTCAACTCTCTATTGCATGAAATTACTTAATGCTTTGTGTTGACTGGCCACCAATACATCAATTTGTAGTTAATTAGGTTATTAACGATAGTGAAACCCTAATAACTGAACCTATTTTACGTGACATAGTAACTTATCGAAGAGACAGTGGATTAAATAAGGTGCTATGTGGTCTTAAATATGATATTGGTCATTAAGCTACGACAGTAGGATTTGATTTAATTGTTTAGTACGTAGTAATTTCCGACAGGGATAGCTAGAATAGTAGTGATATCCTGGCTGTAGAGATATGGATTAAACTGATTGGAATATGTGAATTAATTTGGATATGATTGTTAGTGAATTCCGGTGTTTCTCCCGAGCTTTCTCCATTGAATTTCTCCCGACAACTTTACTTTGCTTAATTAGTTTATTTTGATTTGCTTTTAGATAATAGTTTATCTCTCAAACCATTTTCCCTTGTAGTTTTCTCTATAAAATTGATAGAATATAAGGTTGTACCAGTCCCTGAGAGACGATACCCGGACTTCCGGTTTACTACGAGATAGGAAATTGGCATATATGCTTTTGCCCACTAGCATAGTAATCGTCTGAATCATACTCGACCTTCACCAATAAGGATTCTTAGGGCCGCTTCCAATTTTGAACTACAAACGTGACCATTAGTGAGCTATGTGTTCCATTTTTTCTCCATGATCAATCCAGTTCTTGATCTTCATGTGGTCTTGAGGACCAAATTCAACAATAGCATTTTGAAGGAAAGGGATACAAGAGCCTTGATCCACCCACATATCCTCCCCTGATCCGAGTGGCGGATCCAAGGTGGCCACTCTAGGCCACGACCCAGCCTTTTCTAGATCTGGAGCTAGTATAGCATTTATGAATTTTTTTGATTTTATACATTCGGTCCAGTGTTATTTTATAATAAGATGGTGTGTAACTAAAAAATGGTCTAGATGAACATATGCAAATCAATACTCCAAATTTAGGCTAGAAATTTTAGCTCCAATGATTTTCCTTTGAAAAAAATACCGAAACCTAAAAGTCTAAAACGTAAAAGACTAAAAGAAATATGAGGTTTGTTTTGTTTCAAATTACTAGCGAAGCTGGTGCAAATAGGAATGGACGGACAATACAAATTGATTAGTCGGTTGATTCTTCTAGTGTTGACGTTGTCCGTTTCAACAAAAACTATGGAAAGAACCTTTTCAACAATCAAACATGTGAAAACTAATTTGCACCACAAACTGATCGCTTATTGCTTAACTTTTTATTTGGAAAAGAGTATACTATTGATATGAATGAAGTCTCAATTATTGATGAATTTGATAAATTAAAAGACCATCATGTACAATTGACATTATAAAAAAACTATGGTTATTATTTTTCTTTTTATGATATCTCAATTTCTAATAAAATACGGTCTAGTGCTCTACTAGGTGCTGGATCCGCCGCTGCCTGATCCAATCACTATAATTGTTCACAGGTCGAGAACTTTCTTAGCCTCATACAAGCCTTACCCACATTGGTACTAAAGCTATAGCATTATCATGGAGCAGGAAAAGTTCGACGAGCTGAAGATATGAACTTGAGGACCATTCTCCCCTTCCTTTAACTTTTGTCCTTCTCAAGAATTTGGATCTAGGTAGCCAGCAGATAGGATATTACGCCTTTCTCAGCGCATACTTGTGTTGCTCTCAATTATGTCAAATAAAATGAGTTCACCATTTACCAAAATAAAAGGAAATTGAAGCAAAGTCGCAACTCGCATGTGTTAGTAATTAGTGGGCACTTGTACGTGAACGGTAACACCCCGACCTTTGGGTTCAGGTTCGACCATAATACGTGAATGGTTGGTTTAACGAGTATGTATGAAGAGTTGCAACCGGGGGATTAGGAATAATAATAATAATAATAATAATAATAATAATAATAATAATAATAATAATAACTATTATTACTATTATTATTATTACTATTATATAAAAAAAGAGGGAGGGGGCCAAAGAGGGCCGAGCCCTCATTAAAATTGCCCACGATCCCTCTTTTCCCCCCAGCAACAATTTCCCCGCAAAAATAAACCCACCGCCGCCCTTGTTCTTCCCCAGTACGAGAGGCAAAGCAAGCAGCGAGCAGCTGGCGGAAGGTGAAGGGCGTAACGTGAGAGCGGCCTGACCGTCAACGCGAAGAGGCCTCGTCCTTCAACGCAGAATACAGTTAGGTACCACCACACGAGCAGGTGCCTGCTTGCAGCGACGCAACCATGACACGAACGGCGGCGGAGTTGGAGGAAAAGTCGCCGCAGCCGAGGCCACAGCCGAAACCGCCGCTCTCTATTGTTTTTCCCTTCCCGAGAACAAGCCAAGAGAGAAGGCTGCACCAGTGCCGCTACGATCGATCCCTCTCTTTTCCTCTAGCCTTACCCGAGAGCGAGAGATAAACAATGATGGCGGCTGAACGAGGCGTAGCAGGACAACAATGATGGCTGGAACCAACCATGGGGAAGATGATGACAAGCTCTGACGGATAGAGGGCCGCCGGGGAGGCTTCAATGAATCGATGGCTAAGGTAAGGGCTAAAGTCTGTAGGCCTTCATCGATTATGGTGTTTTGCTGGGTGAAACATGGATAATTGAAGTAATTAATAGGACGAGGTTGGAGAATAATCATTGGGTGCTGCCTAAGTTGGGATTGTACGTGTGTAGGTATAATAGCAACACTTGAAATTGATGGAATGGTCATTGCATAATTATACGGAAAAGGGAGGCGCATTTGAGTGAGGAGGATTGTGAAAATTACATCTAATGACGTTGGGGGATATGGGAAGTGAAATTGAATTAGTGGGTTCTTTGGTCTTTGAAATTGGTATGCGAGGAAAATGGTGGTATCAATAAGTTAGCGGGGATTTAACTTTAATCGAATAATTGCTGGAAGGCTGGTTACGATTGGCGCATGATAATTGATGATTTTAGGTTGATGTAAAGAGCAAAGCAAGGACATATTGGATTATCATACATGCTCTCTGTGAGAAATGATAAATTGAGATAGATGTGTCCTAGCAATGTGAACAGGCAAAAAGAAGGACTTGAGGTTGTGCAGCATATAAAGGTTCATAATTTAGTCAATCGATCGGAATAAAAAGGTGAGTGTAAAAGGGGTAAATTCTATGCCTTACGTATTCTTTTAAGTATTATGATTTTAAGTATTTTAGCGAATTGGTTACCGTTGCTTGATTATGTGTATGATTGATTATTTGTGCTTTGCTTGAGCTATGATTTGAGGTGATTTTGTGCTATTTACCTTAAAGCGTTAGGTTTGAGTCATGGTCAAAGTTAAAGAAACATGTTCTTTTTAAGAAGTGACTCACCTTCAAGAAGGACAAGTCGTTTTAAGTGTTTTTAGTCACTAGCGCCAGTCCGTTGCTTTTTAAGACATTTTGAGATAGAGCAGCAGTTATGCTCTTGAGATTTTTAAGATGAGCAGCAGTTATGCTCTTGAGAATCGTGGTGAAGAGCCACCACGATAAGTTTCAGATGTTATGGGGATGAATCGTTACGACTTCCCTAACTAAGTTTGTTTAAGGAAAGCCTTGATGGCTTCTCATACGTATGAGTTGGCAACCGGACTAGCTAGTGAGGGATCCCCATGTCACTCAAGTATTTAAGTCAAGCTTTGAGATTTAAGAATGTAGTAACAGTAACTCCCATACAGTTTTAAGAGTTAAGCTTTTCAATAGTGGAAGTACAAAACAACTTCCACACAGTTAAGTAAAGTGCTCAAGTTTTAATAAGATGTTAAACGTAAGAGCGTAGACTGACCCCATCTCACTCACCAGTTTGAGGAGCTAGAGGAGCTAGAGGATCAGTTAGTGAGAAGCGAGTTCGAGGCCAGCGAGCTAGAGGAGAGCAGTATAAGCATCACGGAGGATTCTTAGTCAAGGGTTTCAGTAGCAACAACATTAGAGATTAGTAGTTATTTACATTTATGATTATGAGTATAGACTGGAGATCATTTTGAGATTTTAAGTATTGAGTTTGCCCATGTGTTAGGGCGTTGCTTTGAACTACAAGTGCGTGTTTTCATTATTTATTTAGTAAAATTATTCCAACTGCACTTTAAGATTTGAGTATTTTATTTATCAAGGGCATTTTAGTAAAAGTAGTACCCGGCCGGGTTAGGGTG